TGGTATGAGAGATGTCTGAGATTTTTCTGCCTATTGTTTCATCTAAGATTTTTTGTTTGTTTGTTTCATGACTTACATTTAAGTTTTTTTATCCATTTTGAGTTTCTTCTTGTGTATGGTGTAAGTTGGTGGTCTAGTTTCTTTCTTTTCTTTTCTTTTTTTTTTTTTTTGCATGTACCTGTCCAATTTTCCCAACACCATTTATTGAAGAGACTGTCTTGACTCCATTGTATGTTCTTGCTCCTTTGTCAAATATTAATTGAGCATTTTGGTTTGGGTCAATTTCTAGGTTTTCTATTCTATTCCATTGATCTATATGTCTGTTCTTGTGCCAGTACCAGGCTGTTTTGAGAACAGTGGCTTTGTAATACAGCTTGATATCTGGTGTTGAGATCCCACCTACTCTGTTCTTCTTGAACTAGAGATTTTAATGGACAACACATTTGAGGATATTTATGACTTGTAGATGACAAAAGTCAGAATAAAGAAAAAATCATGAAAAATGTGATCATAGAAAAAATTTTTAAATTTTTATTTGATGAAAGCTTTCATTTTCAGATATGATTCAGTAAGATTACTGGACCAGTCCTCTTATAAAAATAACTAAATATTCTAGATAAAATACTTTAAAAATGTGTTCAAAAATTGAAAAAAAAACTGGTAAGAAAGTAACAAAATTATCAAGCCAAAATTAAAGGGAAAATGGGAATTATTTTTGCCTTAAAGGCATCCACTAATCCAGGCAAATTTGAACTTTAGTTCTGATGCTCTCAAAGGTCAAAGGGAACAAAAATTAAATCCCATGGTAGGGAGTGGAGAGGAGAACTCTCCTTCATTCCCCTGAGTTCCTATAAGAGTACACACTCAGGTTAAGGGGGAAAAGAAATACACCGGTCTCTTTCACATGGATTTGCACCTTGATTTTCACATCACCTGGGTGGTACACAAATCCTCAAGCTGTTCATTTTAATTAACAAGCTTCCAGACTGGTAGTATTCCTAGGTGCACGGCAAAGTGAATAAATCTCTCTGTAGGTAGGCAATCTCAGCCTGTATTATTCAACCATTCTTACGAATAACTTTTCAAAGACAATGAGCAGTACATAAGCAAAGATTAAAAAACATACAAAGAAACAACAAATCACAAGAACAAGAAACAACACAAGTGAAACAAACCTTAAAAAACTTCATATATTTGAGATTCTAGACAAATTATAAAACAACTAAACTTACTCTGCAGAGATTATCTATCTATAATAATAAAAGCGTAATATGCTAATTAGACCAAACGACCTTCTGGGTGAAGCCAGGGCTGTGAGAGCTGAGCCCCTTGCATGAATTTCGTGCATCAGGCCTCTCGTCAATCTACAATAATCGATCTAGCAGAATTAAAGAACTAAGAGAGCTTTAAAAATACAATAAAATTTAAAACCTAATAGGTTAATTTTAATAGTAGGTTAGACAGAATTAAATCAAAAAGTAGAAGGTAACTTGGAAAATAGTACCCAGAATGTAACATGCAAAGCACAGAAACTTGTAAAATACAAAAGAGAGGTTAAAGGACATAGACAATAAACTGAGAATAATTATGGCTCCAGAAAGAGAGAGGCAGAAACAGACCGAGAATATATATATATCTATATTAATATATGTACATACAGTCATATATATGAATTAACATATATATGAATATGGGGAAACCTAATTGAAAAGAAAATGGCTAGGAATTTTCCAGATTTAATGAAAAGTAATAAGGCACAGATAAAAACAAATCCAATGAACCACAAAAGTAGGATAAATAAGAATAAATCTAAACATAAACATACTAAAACTGAAGAACACAAGCAACAAATAGGAAATCTTAAAAACAGCTACGAAAAGGACACTGGCTACAAAAGAACATCCATTAGAATGACAACTGACTTCTCAAATATGATAGGGAAACCAGAAACCAGAGCAATGATATCTTCAAGGCTGTAAAGATATTTACTGCCAAACCTAAAATTCTATACCTAGGGAATATAGCTTTCAAGAATAAACACAAAATTATATTTTCAAGTAAACAGAACTAAGTCCGCCATCATCAAACCCTCAAAAAATGAAATACTAAAGGATCCAGTTCAAACAGAAGGGAGCTATTCCCAGATAAAGGACATGAGTGGTGAGAATAAAGAGCTAAGAAAATGAGAAGTATGTAACTAAATCTACATGGATGTTATTATTTTATGCAGTCAATTTCTTGAGGGGTCAAAAACTATAATATTAACTACACAACAAAAATAGACCAGAAAGCCCTGACTGGTTTGGCTCAGTGGATAGGGCATCGGCCTGCGGACACAAGGGCCCCAGGTTCGATTCTGGTCAAGCGCATGTACCTTGGTTGCGGGCACATCCCCAGTAGGGAGTGTGCAGGAGGCAGCTGATCAATGTTTCTCTCTCATCGATGTTTCTAACTCTCTATCCCTCTCCCTTCATGTAAAAAATCAATGATTTTTAAGTATCTCTTCAAAATAGGGGAAGACAAGGTAAGAAAAAGAAAGACTAGGTAAGCCAGTGATTTTTCAGGGCCTGGGCTCTTCCCAGAACTTGCAAAGTTTAGTAGTGACCTAATAATGTGGGCAGATTGTACACTGATTATAGAATTCACCCTATCTGTGGCTCCCTCCCTTCATGTGTGTTTCCTTTTAACTTCCAGCTGTATGCCAGTCCCAAACAATGTCCTCTAACTCTTCAAACCAGCAAGGCTGGAGATTCGGCTTCCAAGGTTAGACTGCTTTTCTGCCCCCTTTAAATTTTGTCTCTGGGAGTTAGTCCCGCCATGCTATTCTGCCATTATAAATTACATTAACTTTTATCAAAACCATAAAAAAGATAGAAATAAAGTGAAATCCATTCATTTAAAGACACTAGTGACCCAGTGCACGAAATTAGTGCACATTAAAAGGGAATTAGAGGAAATATTTAAATATTGCTATTTGCCCTTTCTCTATACTAGAAGTGTCAGAGATGAAAGAAAATTGGTAAAATGTATATGAAAATCTTCCTCCTGTCAGAGTCTGGGGCGCACCACGGGAACCAGAGTCAAGTCCCCGCCCACCCACATGCGCCTTGAAATCGCAGGAGACCCAGACCCAGCCGGCCCCACCCCCATTTGGCTTTATCCAGATCCAGATGGCCCCACCCCCGTCAAGCCCCGGCGGGAGGGGGGGCGCAGCCTCAGGTTGCCTGGCCCAGCACTGGGGCAGGGGGCATTGCCTGAGGTCCCCCGGTCTGGGCCGGGGCAGGGGGCATGCCTTGAGGTTCCCATCAAGCCCCGCCAGGCAGGGGGCACGGCCTGAGGTCCCTGTCAAACCCTTTTGGACAGGGGGTGTGGCCTGAGGTCCCCCAGCCTGGCGCCAGGGTGGGGGACACGGCCTGAGGTCCCTGTCAAGCCCTGTTGGACAGGGGGTGTGGCCTGAGGTCCCCCAGCCTGGCGCCAGGGTGGGGGACACGGCCTGAGGTCCCCTGTCAAGCCCCACATGGCGGAGGGTGCGGCTTCAGGTCCCCCGACCTGGCACCAAGGTGGGGTGTATGGCCTCAGGTCTTCCATCTCAGCGCCAGGGTGAGGGGTGTGGCCTCATGTCCCCTGTCAAGCCCTGCCAGGCGTGGGGCATGGCCTGAGGTCCCTGATCAAGCCCTGCTGGGCGTGGGGTGCAGCCTCAAGTCCCAGAGCCCAGCACCAGGATGTGGGGCACAGCCTCAGATCCCATGGCCCGGTGTCAGGGTGTGGGGCGCAGCCTCA